TGTGTGTGTGTGTGTGTGTGTGTGTTTGTGTGTGTATGTCTGAATGGATGTTGACTGAAAGTCCTGACATAGATCCTTGGAAGGAGAGGAAAGTGAAAAGGTCTGCGCGGCCCATAGAGTTAACCTCGCTGAGGAAGGTTGGGGGGAGGGGGATAGGAGTTTTTTTTGTGTTTCTGTTTGACTAATATCATCCTTGTTACATTTCTTTCTTGGTCAGGTGTTTGTTCCACGCTGTAACAATAATGGGTGAAATAACGTTACATATCTCGAGGATTAATCAAGGAAATGTATAAACATTTATTTTTTGAGAAATGGGATGATCTTTAACTAATCAGTTAATGAATATACAAATGTATAGCTAAGTATAAGAACGAGGGATTTCTGTAGAGAGATAGGTAATATATACGTAAGCAGATATATAGGCATTTTTATTTTTAGCAGCTGAATAGGTAACACGTAAGTTAGGAGATAGACAGATAGATTCTTGAGAAAACAAATGGATAGTTACACAATATACACACAAACATACAAAAGAGCATACAGACACATACAAAGGCACACATTCACATGAAAATAACCACACATACGTATTCACCCTCACCCTCTTCACAAACACATACATGGAAACACACACACACATAATCATAGGCAAACGCACTGGCAATCCCCCTTCATCCACATACCGACGCACTCACAAACGCACGTAAACGTATACACACACAGACACAGTCAAAAGCACTCACAAACACACACAAACGCACACACAAGCGGCCCGAGTGGCCTGGCAGCGCGCCACGCCGCCGCTATTCCCGCCCGCCCGCCCGCCCGGTGCAGCGACACAGCTCGAATCCGCGCATGAGATCATGAGGCGCCGCAGACGCGCTCTTCTGCGTCGGAAATAGAGCGGAGAGTTTTTTCGTCTGGCAGTTTTATGTGTCTTGGGGTTACGTGCTTTTTTTCCTTTTTCGGATGGAAATTTTGCCTCGGGGATTATAAGGCCGTGGATAAGCAGGAGTCTATGCCTGCAGTCTGCGCATGCAAGTCAGCTGACATTGCGTTGCGCATGGCTGTGCTTTTTTGCAATAAAAAAACTTTTGATAGAACACTTCTCCACTGAATTTTCACTTGAATTGTGTGTCGTTTAGGATTCGATAGATTGACGTGATGATTAAGAATCTGTTTTTGTCCGTAATTATGGCTGTAAGTACAATTGCAGGATCCTAAATCCATTTCGTTATCTCATGACTGCACCAATGATCAGGGTTTCTTTTCCAAATCATCAACATCTCGCTAAAGCAACTTGCAGAATCGAATCCGACGTAGATTTAACATCATAGACCTCTCGAACATATAAATGATGCAGACTTTATTCCAGGTGTAGTTGAAGGCGCATCTTAAAGGCGCGCACAACCTTATTCCAAACAGGCGCAACAATAATAAGGCGACTCTCCTGGACAGACGCCGTTGGGCCAACACGCTCCCATAGACATGGAAGCTGTGGCGTAATAAGTCATGCTATGGCCATAGCATGACTTATTACGCCACAACTTCCATGTCTATTTACTTATCTCGTAGTGATATATACAAGCGGGCGCGAGGCCATATGTTATCCCGCCGGGCAGCGCTGGCAGTTAGTGCCCAGGTGAGGCAAAGCAGCAGGCGGGTGCCAGTGCCCCGCATGGAGTGGTGAGGGAAGGTGCGTCTCGCGAGGGAAGTGAGAGCGTGAGGGAGGACATGAGGGACCTCATCAGCGTCCGGGCCCTGTCGGCCCTTCAGAAGAAGAAGCGCCTGGTCAAGCGAGGCGACGAAATTCTGACGTCGAAGCCTTTCTGCTTCGTGCTCGAAAACTCCGTGATCGGCCAGTACTGCGAGACGTGCCTGGCCACGGCGAGGTGAGGGCCAGCCTCCAGGACCCGCTGGGGCCCTGGAGCAGCTCGCCAAGGACAGACAAAAAGGCGTGTCTCTAGCGCTCTGCCACAGAGGCCTACGGTCGTATCATTAAAAGCAAGAGCGGGGCCTTCTCCCCCCCCCCCTTCGCGCATTAGTAAAGATTTCCGCTGCTCCGCTGGCCTGGAACTCCTGCAGCAGGCCTGAAAGGGCGGCGGTGAGTGTGGAGTGCCTGGCCTGCTCGAGCAAGACTCACTCCTTGGATGCGATTCCTTGTGAAGTGATGAGTTCGTCAAGGAAAGGGGGCGCCATTTCTTGAAATAATAAATCGTAGTAAATAGGATATTTTTCAAATTATTGGAAAATCTTGTTTCTTTTTAATACAACATACGTTGATAATGCAAAAAAAAAAAAAAAAAAAAAAAAAAAAAATGCGTAGCCAAGATGAATTCGGGATTCGTATCTTGCATGAGACGATCTCTTTTAATAATCTGCCCGAATATCAGTAAGTATATAAAGGGAAAAAAAGTATATATAGATACATACATATATGATACATATTTATACATATACATGCATGCAGACACACACACACACACACGCACACACACACA